AAATAGCACGAACAATGAAACAAGAAACCTTTTTTTTCTGAGCACCAAGGGAAATTTGTCAACATCGTACTTGTTTTTGTTCCCACTTATGAATATCAAAGAATTTTCAACTGGATATAAAATGTTGACAAAGAAAATGTATCTAAAAATGATAACTTATTTTGTGCTGCGATTCTTATTACTTACTACTTATCCTCTTTGTGCCCCGGATGACGCATGAGGCCGTTCAACAATTAGAACGCCACTTACGGCGGTCGCTGGCAACAAGCTGCCCCTCCTTCCAGCTGCTCCAAAAAATACTATGGTAAACTATAGTTTACTATAGTTAACTATAGTAAATCAAAGTTTTCAAAGTTATCACTATAGTAAACCAAAGTTTCCAAAGTTATCACCATAGTAAATAAAAAAAATCGCTATAGTATTTCAAAGTTGTCATAGTTATAACTATAGAGTCATAGTGATCACTGGTTTTCAAAGTTATCACAATAGTAAATCAAAGTGTCAAAGTTATCACTATAGTTAACTGCAGTCGTTTGACCGTTGCAAATAGGGAACCGATTAGGCGGTGCTATAAATATATGACTGCATTATTTCAAAATCTAATTTTTTTGTCAAAGTAGTTCAATGACTTGCGGAATTAAATGTTGTTTCATAAAATTTCAGCCTTTCAAAAAACTTTTTATTCTTACAAGTTAACATGGGTACACATTTTACTAGTTAAGAATAAGCCGACGAGTTCCGAATACCATAGCGGTTCACATGCAATTCGACCCCAAATTAAAAATATCCGTCTAACATATTATCAATTGACATACCTAGGAAAAGTTAAAATAAATGCTTACCAGTAAGTAAGTGGTATTTCCAAAGGATAAATAGAAATAACAGTCACATTTACAATGAAGAAATAACAGAAAACTAACGTATTATATAGTGTTTATAATGGGTATTCGGAACTAGTAAAATGACAACACGAAAATATTCCGATATCTTCCGGTGGTCTAATTACTTACTTTCGGCAAGCTTTTGGTATTTGTTAAAGTACATATGAAACTTACTTTTGATATAGTTGAAATATTGTTTTATGTGAAAAAATTGACGTCTTTACATACTTTTTTTCTGCAGACAAACGCGTCGCGGTGATTCAGATTTGTTGCATTGTAAAAGTATGTCGCCTGTTTCAAGTACACAAGAACTCAAACTGACGGCAAAAAATCAAAACTTCACATAATTCTAACACTCATAGATAAGCCCTCATACCATATATGTGAATTTATGTTTACACTTTTGAATTTATAAATTATCAGCTCTTAAATTATTAATTATTCGGAACTGATCAAAATTCGGAACTGGTCAAACGACTGTATAGTAAACTATAGTTAACTATAGTATTTTTTGTAAGGGTCCAATCCAGTTTTTCTCTTTCTCTCTCAACAGAGCGTCGCCAGGTGTTCTTTGGCCGTTCTCTTCTTCTGCGATTCTAATGATGGTCAGCTTATTTCAAGCCACTCTAACATGAACTAATATTTGCATACTCTGTTTTCTCCCACTATGAACCTGCACTCAATAGTTGCGTTCATAGCACCATGAACGCAATTTCTTCTGCTATAAGTGCATTTCGTTTCTTACACTGGCGCAGTACAATATACTCCACTTTTACATCACATTCAGAAGTATATATATGGTTGTGCAAAAGGAATAAAATTTAGTTTTTAATGGAATCCTCCGGGAAAAAAGAAATTTAAAATGATTAAAATTACTGATTTAGGTGTTTTAATTTAAAAAAAAAATAATACTTTTAGTCAACGTGAAATAAAACTTTCTACAAATTAAACAGAACTGTATATCTTTAATTTATTTGTTCATTTTTAGGCATATTGTTGCAAAGAACGGTAACTCTTCACGCTAGGGTTTTTACGTTCAGAAAAAGGAAAATTTCTGTAATAATGTATCTATTTCAAGAACGATTTTAACTCTGAAAAAGAATTCCAAGAACTTAAGAAAAATGAGAAATACATTCTTAAGTTAAAATCAATTTAAAAACATTCTCTTTTTTCATAATATTGTTATTTATAATTTTCATCAGAGAGTTTCGATGACGATGACGTCATGGCGCGTCACAACAGCATCAAAACAAAAAATTAAGAATTTGAAGACGGTGCCGTTTGTATCGAGATAACTGTGATTAATAAGCAATACTTATATTTGCATTCATATAAGAGGAAATCCTAGCCTGCATAGGGGCACGGGTGCTTGTCTCCAGTGAAGGAAAATATGACAATAAAATTAGTTAACTAAAGTTAATTAATAATAATTTATCCACTTTATCTCCAATAAATCACATACAATTATGTAATTTATTGGAGATAAAGTGGATAAATACTTCAGAGGACTTTGGTTTAAATGTTCAATGTCCAAGCACTGTAAGGTTTGTTTGTAATTGAAAAGTGTGAAAGCAATAGTTTTGGAATATTTGTATGAAATACAGGGTGTACACTTCAAGAAAGAGAGTCACCTTCTGGTATAGTCATATATCGGTAATACGTATTTTCAGTGAATATGTTGAGTTTACATTTTTTTTATTTCTGCAAAAAACAGCTGTCATGTAGATATCATACATTACCTCTATACGAAAAAGGAAGTAATTACCCATGCATCGGAAAATATCCGATTAACGGTTAGTCCGTGTCTAATGCATGGTGAAAAGAAATGCTAGTAATAAACAATTGCAAGAAAATTAATTCAATCTTTGGAATAAGATAATTCTTGAAACGTTCCATAAAATCATCACTCGTGAACAAAAGTCATCTAAGACGGACTCGTTTTCATCAAGTTTAATGAAAGAAAGACAACTCTAAAAAATTGTATACTCATTAAATTCTGGTTACTCCCCGGTGATGATGTCAAATGTGACGTCACTTCAATGCCATTATCGTGGTATTTTTATCACTACATGATAATAAAATTCGGAACCATTAAAAACTTAAAGACAGAAAAAGTCAAAACAGGAGACATTGATGCAAGTTTATTGCTCAATGTTTTTCCCAAGTAGGTTATGTGTCCGATGCATGATAAACTCACCCTAAAATCCAGAGAAATCAGAGTAGAAATATGAGAAAGCAGCACAGCACTAAAGTGTTTCGAGTTCCTGTTCATTGATGTGAGCAGAGGTAACAAATCGACTTCGATACCTCGTTAAAAACCACTCTGACTGTACACACAAGTACTTTGAAGTTGATATCAAAAGGATGGTGGAGTTCCTCATTGTCAACATTTATGTAGTCTTCCGAGACCAAGTTTTCCAACAAACTGTTGGAATTCCGATGAGCACTAATTGTTGTCCTTTATTAGCAGACATGTTTTTTCCCATGAAGCAGAATTTATTCAAAAACTTCTACACGAGAAGAGGAAACACTAGCTGTGGTCTTCAATTCAACATTCAGATATATCGACGATGTTTTATCGATTATTCTACTACATTATCGCAAAGATCAAAGAAATACCGCGGCCATTATTCTCCAATACATCACAAACGCCATCAACAAATTATCAATAATTTTGAGTCGGTATGCTTTAATTTTGACTGTGTTCACTAGGAAAAGGATAGAGGTATCTTTTGATTATGACGCAAAATTGATTGGAAAAAATTACTTTAGGTTCGGATTACATCGCATTTTTTTCTTGAGATACAAATGAACGAGGAGTAGCATTCGATTGCGACGCCAAAAGACGCTTCTGATGACGTCCAAATCTAGCTTTTGCATTTCTCTATAATGAAGTTTAAATTTTCGCAGTAGCAGAATAAAAATAATTCCCTCGTTGTCGGAATTGTTGGAGAATATACCCCTCAGTCTTGAGATTTTGTTGGCAAATAAAAACATCACCCTTCTGGCTCGGTTTTTATTTTCCAACAAAATCTGTCAACTTTCGGGGTACAATCTCCATAAATTCCTTCGCCGCAGGAATTATTTCTTAAATAATAGTTATTTTCATTCATATATCGACTCGATTCATCCCAGTGAACTTGGAATAAAAGACACCACAAAGTCTGCCACATCTGTTTCATATTTAGATGTTTTACTTACTATAGACGATAAAGGCCAATTAACAACTAAATTGTATGACAAACGAGAGGACTTTTAGCTTTTCCATTGTCAAGTTTCCTTATATATGTAGTAATATTCCACTTTCGCCTGCTTATGGTGTTTATGTCTCCCAACTTATTCGCTAATCATGAGTTTGCTCTGAGTACGATCAATTTTTAAAGCGAGGCAGGCTACACACTGAAAATGTGATTTTACAGGGATTTCAACAGTCTCGTTTAAAGTCAGCATTTCGTAAATTTTATGGTCGTTATAATGACCTTGTTAGCAAATATAACCAACCATTGGGCTATATTTTGGCTTACTTGTTTCATACCAATTGATAAGCCTTAGTTTTTGTACTGAATTGTCTATGGATAGTCCATCTTCCTGATCAATACATAGGGCTCACGGCGGGTTTGGCCGGTCAACAGGGGATGCTTACTCCTCGTAGGCTCCTGATCCCACCTATGGAATTTTCAGGGGTATGTGTTTTATTCCCTCTTCACATATTTGTATTGTTTATGGATTTTTTAAATCGATCACTGTTTGTTTATCTTTTACATTCCTCTATCACCTTCATATGGTGTTAACATCTCACAACTTGTCGATACTCAAGAGCATGCCTTGAGTACGATCAATTTTTAAACCGAGGCAGGTTACTAACGCAAAAGCTGATGTTACAAGAATTTCAAAAACCTCTTTAAAGTCAGCATTTTATTTATGAGTTAATTTAACAAATATAATGGAAATGTAATAATACAATGAAAGGTCACCCTGCTTAATATACTACAGAACAGAAAATTAGTGCTATTGTCAAAAGCTTATGTAATCTTTAAGCTAAAGATAATGTTCTAAACGTTTTCAAAACAACACTGAAATAGCAAGATTCAAAAACATGTTTTTGAATACGACAATATACCATATTTGTCGAAAGTTTATGATATTGTGTATATTTCAATCTCGTTAATGTGAAGATAGTTACCAACTCCACTGATAATTTTAATTCTGACATATCGTCCGATAGTAGGATGGTCACACAAGATCTCCACTACCTGATTCGTCACCCCGGGTCCTTTGAAAAATCCCTTCTGTTCGTATAGGACCCCGCCCAGTGACACTTCAACCGCCACGTCATGGAATCTTTCACCTATGGAGATGATTCAACGTTAAAAAGAAAAAAACTGCTTATATATATATATATATATATATATATATATATATATATATATATATATATATATATATATATATATATATATATATATATATATATACGAGGGCCGTTCAAAAATTACGCGGACTTGTTGCACGCAAAATATATTTGACGACATAATCAAGCAAAAAGTCATAAATAATATAAAAGAATCTTTTCATATATGATCATCAAAATTTCATATCAAAATAAAGTAAATTGGTATCAATTTCAAGTTATTTAACAGGACATCTCATGAAGTCACGGTGCAGTAAAACTTTCAACGTCACGGGCATTTTAAAAAATGGGAGCTTTCATTTTCTCAATATTTTCCCTTACTATTTGATTCTGTATAGTTTTGGTTACCCTATCCACTCAGAATAAACATCCATATACCATTTCCGATTCAGCTTAAAAACTATAAAACTATCATTGTGTGTTTTAGTTTGTGTTAAACCCCAAAACTGCAGATATTTCTGAAGTAAGGTTTGACATCAGTCGATCTCAATCACATTCTTAACAGCCCAGATCAGTGTTTTGTCGATGAACTTCTTCCATTCCCCCCGTATTGCCTTTTGACTAAGGTCTATCAGTCTAAAATTCTTTTTTTACATTTTGTAGAGATGTGTCGGATATTCCGCTGGTTTACTACATGTTTCATTAGGATTATTCTGGGTCTCTATTGGCGTTTTCCCAGCATGATACATGATTTGATAAAAGTGTGCTGCTCCGTCAAATCACGAGACGTCATTTTTGCAGTTGATTTCGTAGGGGTCACATCGTAGAAAAATTACAATATTTCTGTTAGTACTTCAAATATTACGCCAGAACTCTAAATACTTAATAATAAAACAATAAAAAGAAATTTTAGAGAAAATTATTGAATAATATCTTGAAATATGGAAAATAAATGAATAAAATGTTGGATACCGCATGTTTGTTTTTCAACATTTTTGCCGTGCTCCGTATATCACCATCAGCAGTATCAAAACGGCAGTAATTTTATGAGATATTAAATAAAATCAAAAATTTTTTACCAAGAATTTACTGGAATTCTTAAGAAATATGTTCCTGTGAAATTTCAATTCTATATGACGTCTGTAAGAGTAAATAATAGTAGAGTCTGCGTAATTTTTGAACGGCCCTCGTATATATATATATATATATATATATATATATATATATATATATATATATATATATATATATATATATATATATATATAAAGGATAGATGGTTCTCATTTTGCCCCTCAATCTTTTAATGCGCGATTTTAACATACATCTGATACATTTAATCCATTCCGACAAAGTGTCAAGGTCTTCTTTTTCATGTCTGGCCCATCGCCTGGCGTAATCCTCTACAGAATCCATAATATTTATTTAGGACCTTTTTAAATTAGTGATCTAAGGTCCTCATTATTAACTATATTTACGTCACCAGTAATAACGTGTTCAGCAGGACTGTATAGTTATAGGGTGAAGAAGAACATGAACACGATGGAGGATTATGTTTCAGATATTCCATATCCAGGCCCTGTAAAGTTTTCTTGTAATTAAAAGTTTGGAAGCAATAGTCGATGTATATTTGTGGGAAATACAAGGTGTAGTCTTTAACTTGAAATATGGTGGAATATAAGACTGGACCCTTTTGTGATTAAGAATATTACTTATATTAACCGCGTCAATTCCTTTGTTGGCATATTGAAGTTTAAGGAAAAACGAATTGTTTTATCTGCATTTTCTTCAGTAAAACGTGGGGTTTTAAAAAGCCTATGATTTGCAATATCTATAATCACAGATCCGAGCCTATATTCTGGTGCCGAGGAATCAAAAAAATGGACTTTCCTTGACCTTATCAAGAAGACTATTTAAAAGTTTCAAAGGGACAGAGTAAAGTTTGGTGCGAATATGATGTAGACCTAACTGTTGATTTACGTAAGGTAGTAATGAATCAAAAGAGAAATCGTGTATTAAAGGTTTACTGTAAGACCGATGCCCATGACTACGCTTACGTCTCTGTGTATGGTTAAAAAGTCCCATCACATTTACATTGTTACTGTGGACTGGAAAGATTTCCAACACTATCGACATTGTCATTACATCCATAGGGAAAGGCTGTCCCAAGCTTTCTAATCCAAAATTCTTCTCGTTGTCTACGGAAAGGTGTACTCAGTGATGGACTGTCTGTGTGGTGGTAAATCTCTTCTAGAATTCTAACTTTCATTGACAAATAGAATGATCAGGTAAATAAAAATGCTTCTATAAAAGTTGCTGACCCCCATTATTTATCTGAAATCTATGACCTGATATTCTTTTATTGAGTGATCCCTTGGTTTCACCAACATAAACAAGTCCAAAAGATAACATTCTATTCCGTAGACAACATCAGAGGATTTGCAGTTTAGATTTTCCCATGTTTTGGTTCAGAAGCTCTGTCCATTAAGATTACTGGTGAAAGAAGTGTTAATTATCAAAATGTCACAGGTTTTACAGTTTTTCGCAGAACATTTGGAATAGAAGACATGGCATCGGAAAAGGAATCTTCCAATATATCTCTAATAGAAACCTTACATTCTTTCAATTTTTGTGTGAACTATTGGTTTTATACCAGAACTGGGAATCTGAAGACTGTACATATGACATATGTTAAATATCCCTGAGGATTATCCGAGGGGCACCGAATGAACTGCTTGAGTCTGTGTCCCTTATAGACTCAAAAGTGACGCCTTTTTTATACTGGGCGACGCGTCTGCCAGTATCATTTCGTTATTCTGTGTACTCATGAATGAATAGGAAGCGAACGACAAGTACCCTCGAGGACAGACTGTCCACCAGCAGAGATACATGTTCATTTGTTCAAATGAAATATATGGAGATAAAGAACAGTATTCAAGCTCAAAAGTCCATTAAACAATACATAATAGGAGCAGAGCAAACACTGACCTTCAAACATCAGAGGTGGGATCAGGTGCCATGGAGGAGTGAGCATCCCCTGCCGACCGGTCACACCCACAGTGTGCTCCTTGTCATGATCGGGAAATAACGGAAAAATCCGTCGACAATTCAGTGTGTAAATAATGGCCTAACAATTAGTATGAAAAACGTCAGTCAGCATTTGACTCAATGATAAATTGTATTTACTGACAAGATAATTGTATCCACCATAGAACTTACGAAATGATGACTTTAAACGAGACAGCTGATATTCTTGTTTCATCAACTTGTTTGTCAATAATTTAACTCGTTTTAGAAATTGTACATACGTAGAGCCTGCTCTTGCGTATCGAATCAACTGACAGATATATACCCATATGTATGCATGGGATGAAGGTATTGCTGCATGAGTAAGGGAAGTTGACGATTGAAAAGCTAAAGTCATCACGTTTATCATAAAGCTTGGTTGTTAGATTACCATTAACGTCTTTTTCAAGTAAAATATCCAAATATGAAACAGATGTGTCAGACTCTGTGGTATCTATTATCTCAAGCTCACCAGGATATATCGTATCGACATAGGAATGGAAATAGAAATTGTTAATTGACAATATGTCGTCGATATATCTAAATGTCGAGTTGAAGGCCACAGCAAGTGTTTTCTTCTTTTCACGTACAAGATTTTGGACAAATTCTGCTTCATATGAATACAAAAAAGGTTTGCTAATAACGGGGCGCAATTAGTACCCATGGGAATTCCAATTGACTGTTGGAAGACCTGGTCTCCAAAAACCACATAGAATGTCAATCAGAAACTCAAGCATCTTTTTAATGTCAACTTCAGAATACTTGTGTGTACAATCAGAATGTTTTTTAACAAAATAGTTTTGCAAATGACCAATGACAAGGTAAGTAAATTTACGAGTTCCATTTTTATTGAAAAAGCAGCTGTCAATGATATCAAAAAGCCTGGACTTTAATTTATCGTGGGGAATGGTTGTGTATAAAGTTGAAAAGTTGTAAGTTTTTCAGCCGTTGATTGTTGTAAAATCTTGAGATTTCAAATTTTCCAAAAGTTCCTTGGAATTTTTAAGTATCGACATCTGATTTACACCACTTCTCGAATATATTGTTGCATAGTACTCTTGAAGTTTCTCCTTCACTACTGTTAATATCTTAGTGAGGAGTAAAGAAAGAGGGTTGGTTGAACATTTACTGGAACCCGATATGTATCTCTATATGGATTTTTATGAAGTTTTGGAATCCATTATAAATATGGTAATTCAGATTCATTTTGGTTGTTTGAAATATTAAAATTATTCAAAGCTGACATATGATTTTGAAGAATGTCTTCCTTAGAAAGGGAACTATGAATATAAGTTGGATTACCACTTGTAGAATTAAATCCAAGATCCTCTAAAACACATTTAATATAATGAGCCTTACAAACAAAAACAATGTTGTTACTTGCTTTGTCAGCAGGGACCAGTACGTACTGATCATGTAATCTATCTAATTCTTTTTTCACTTCTGGATTATTGAATACAGAAATATAGATGGTTCTCATATTGCCCCTCCATCTTTTAATGCGCAATTTTAACATACATCTGATACATTTAATCCATTCTGACAAAGTGTCAAGGTCTTCTTATATTATGAAATAATAGTATCAATAAGAAACCGCAGCAAAAAGGTAATAACAGTATATAGAAGAAGATAATTTTAAAAAGTTTAAATATCAGTTAAATGGGTAGTGAATACTTTATAGAGAGAACAGTCCTACTTGGTATTGTCAACCATTTTCGCCTTATTCAATTTCATCCTGTTGAAGTCATTCAGTTTGTTCATACCATCAGGGCGACATTACATTAGCATCGAGAATTTTTCTCTTTCTCTAAGCATGTCAATTATTGTCAGTAACCACTACTGTCTTGTCCTCCTGGTTGTGACCTTTAAGGTTGAAATGTTTCCAAACTGGTTCATTGGATTTCTTGGTCTTAAAGGATTTATCGCATGCTCTTTAAAAATCGTAATTTTGTAAAAAAAAAAAAAATATATATATATATATATTAACTACATCCCTGTTTATTACAATAAGTAATATACTGTACATTTATATTAAATAATTTTGTATCTCCCCTCCTAATGAGTTATCATCAGGTATTAAGCTTTCCACTAAAAACTATAGTGTAAATTATGATTGCTACATTTGTCTTGCACTGGGACTTTTCTTTGGTCAGAAAAACTGTGAAGAAAGATGTTGATGCAATTTTAGAGGAATCTGTTGATGATCTTATACATTTACATGTTAGATGACTCGAATTTTTCAGATGTAAACACAATTGTCAATACCTTTAACTAACATATAAAACCATGCTGGGTAGAATACTTTAAGACTGAGAAAACTTCATTATACAAATTTTACGCAAAGTCGGAACAGAAAAGCAAAACTTAAGAAAGTTTGGAGAATAATGTTTAAAGCTTAAAAATTAAGTCAGAAAACGAGGTAAAAACTTGCTAACCTCTCCAAATAACTACTTTGCACATAGAACATTTACATCATTGAGGAAGCAATATAATCAAGCACGAAACAGTAAAATCAAATTTTTCTTCATCATTTGCTGATAAAGTCAATGATAGTTATTACAATACAATAAAGTTTTGGAGAAATTTGAACAATTGTAAAATTAAACAGTTTGAAAGCACTTCAGCTATGAGCATGAGGGATTGGATGAATCATTTCTCAATGCCACTAACATCCAAAGAAGATAACTCTTTTGACATTGACTCAGATAATACCTATATAGATGGAAAACATAGGAATTAAAAATTTTAAAAATGGAAAAAGTTGTGGACCTGACTTGATATTGACTGAGTTTATACTGATTGATTGATTGTATGTTGCTTAACGTCCCAATCGAGATTTTTTCACTCTTATAGAGACGTCACCATATATCGTTGAAGGATTTCAAATTTTGACCTTTGCTCGACACTAGGGCCATTGAGCAGTTAGGAATCTTTATCGTGCCAACGCCTGCCGTGACATGGGGCCTCGGTTTTTAAAGTCTCGTCCGAAGGACCCGCAACTTTCACTTCAAAGTGTTGAGCGCATGGCGAAGGAACAGTTGCTATATATACCTATTTTTTATCGAACTCACGACCCTCCGATCACGAGCGAGCGCTCTACCGACTTAGCTACCGTGAACGGTGACTGAGTTTATAAAGACAAGTTCAAGTATTCGCGAACCAAAATTAGTAAATTATTTAATAAAATTCTTAATGTGGTAAGATACCAACAGCATTGAATCAGTTATATATTACTGTTCTTTATAAGTCAGGGATCCAAATTATTGTAACAACTACGTGGGCTTGAGTGTTAATAGTATTCTAGGAAAATTATTTCGTGAACTACTGCAGACAAGATTGTCAAATTATCCAGAAAGTAACTCTCTTTTAAGTCCTTTCCAGTCTGCTTCTAGAAAACAACTGGCAATATATTTGTTTTAAAAACACGAATTAACAAATATGCTTATTGCCAACAAATTCATTGATAATTGTTTACAACAAAATAAACAAAATATAATTCCCAACGAACATTTCTGCTACTACAGTACATAGTTTTAAAAATCTTATAAATAATGCTCTGCAGTAACGTCTTGGTTTAATTTGATTTTGTAGAAATGTAAATATCTTAATTGTGTTAAACCTTCTCTGGTCATGGCCAAACTTTGTGTTGAGTACCACTAAAATTCACTGAAAAACAATGGGTTAAAACAGCATCTGAACTTTTAGTCATGTGACATTGACTTTGTCCAAACAATAATTATTAAAAATAAAGACAGACCTCTTAGTTTCCAGTAAGTCAACAGAAAGAGAAACAAACAAGGTAATTCCAACATATCATATAAACTTTATTTTTAGAGATAAGCTGAAACACTGAAGTGTTCCTTTGTATGATGACTGCTTTAGTTAAAATATTACAATATTAGTAATTTGTAAGCACGTGTGTTTTATCTAAAATTTCTTTCCAATAAATATTTGGTGTAAATGTAGTAATTAGAATTGTTTATATGAATTTAATTTGAAATTTTATTTTAAAAACCTGTAAGTTCTTTGAAAATTAAAAAAAAATTATACACTCACCATTTTTATCTGCTCTGTTGAACACTCGTATAAAAGAGATTCGTAGTGCCTCTTGCAGATCAACAGATAGCCACGGAGTAGATTGAACCTTAGAATGAAAAATTCCACCACTGCTGATGTTTGTGGGCATCACACCGTCTGTAGCATAGTAAGGCCCCCACATGTCAAAGTCATCACCATATATAGACGAAGCTGAGGTTGGCTGATGAATTGCAGCATTTCTTTCCCATTCTTTCTCTGTTAAGAAAAAGAACTCATGTACAATCCTTCAACACAGATCATTCCTCACGGGACATATGATCTCCTTACACTACGTCCTTTGTGTCTTCAATATGTCGGACACAACAAACAAAATCGAAATCAATCAAAAGAAATGAAAAAAAATGTATATAATTATGTTTCATTATATTATGGAAATTATTCTAAAATATAAAAATAAATATTTGATTTTTCAAAAGTTATTTTTTTTAAAGTACAGTAACATTGTAGACCTGAATTGAAATCACCTATTTTTTTCTTTGCAGTAGTAGGTTTGTCAAAATAAAAAAAAATTACATCAAAGTAATTGCAACACAGATAAAACTTTGAATTTATTACATGGATTAGTTTTGTGCTAACAATATACAATAACCTTAAACCTCAAATCATTGCACTTCTTTCAAATCAAGGATGTATAATAAGTGCTTTAGGACCTTATTTGTAATGCGCTTACAGCCCACCATACATACTGCAATACGTCAATACATGACGTCATCATACACACATTTTGATATGTTCCTTTTATTTTTCAAAGCAAGTAAAGAGTGACTTGATTAAAGATGTTGAATAAAATAAATGATTTAATAAAACGATCTCAAAACTGTTTTGATTATGGATATGATAACAATTGTTGCCATACTTACTTCAAAGTCGATAAACTACAAATCTAGATATCGTTTTAATCCTAGTTGGGTACATTCCTCTAATCGTTTTTAGAATTGATAGTGGAAGAAAGTAGTTCACTAAAACGAAATATCTCTTTAGCTTGCAAGTAGTATATAAAATAAGTAGATCATCTGAACTAAAGATACTTGATGTATATGGAAGATTGATTGATTGATTATATATTGTTTTACGTCCTATTCGAGAATTTTTCTTCCGAATTGAAGTAAAAAGTTACAACTTACAAATATATATATACCGGTACATGTAATTAAATGTCGAAATCCCAGGAGTGATGCTGGAAGGAGGGTGGGTGGTCAAGACTCAGTGTGTAAATCCTTTTTTAAATTTCTTTTCAACCACCCTCCCCTGCCATCCTTCCCTTTCTATTACTATCTTTTTCTCAATGCCCCTTTTTGAATTCCAAATTGTCTACAATGTTGTTTGGCATTTGGTTTAAAAGAAAAATAATTCAAATGCATTGAGACTGATTCGATTAAAACAATCAACTGAAATGACAGGCAGTCCATACAGTTTTAGGAATGTACATTTAGGGATACTTCAGTGATTGCAGTAGGCTGACTTTGGCGTACAGTGTTATTAAAATGAATATTTCTTTTACTCTTAAGATAACAGAGTAGTAAGGTAGTAGTGTGTCAAGAAAGCGAATATAAAAGACACCATGGAGTCTGCCATATCTGTTTCATATTTGGATGTTTTACTGACTTAAAACGAGAAGAGCTTACTTACAACTAAAGCGTATGACAAACAAAATGACTTCTACATTGTAAACTTTCCTTATTTATGTAGTTATATTCTGTTTTCACCTGAAGATGGTGTTTATGTCTCCCAACTTACTGAAAATTTAAGAGCATGCTCCGAGTACGATCAAATTTTAAACCGAGGAAGGCTAGGGATATTAGAAAGATTTCAACAACCTCGTTTAATGTCAGCATTTCGTAAATTCTATGGTCGTCATAATGATCTTCTTAGCTAATATATTCTATCATTTGATCGTATTTTGACTGACATATTTAATACCCATTGTAAGGCCTTTAGTTTTATAATAAATTTACCTACTGGATATTTCGTCTGTCTGAGCAATACACGGCTGTAGTGACCGATCCACAGGGGATGTTTGCTCCTACTAGACACCTGATCCCACCTCTGGAATTCCCGGGGTCCATGTTTTATGCCATGTTCATATGTTCAAAGATATCTATTGTTTGTAGTATTTTTTTTATTGCTTTTTATTTGTTTTGTTTGTTTGTTTGTTTTCTTTTTTCTTCCTTCTTTTTTGATCGCCCACCGTGGATTATCTTCAACTTTTCACGTACAAATTCTTCGCAAATAATCTTTGTAATGTAAAGATATAGCTTCATGAAAAATTCACGATGATTTCTTGTAATACTTGGAACAATGCGAGTATCAACCTAAAAGAGAGAGTAGATTGGTTGATTGATGTTATCCTTCTTATCAGAGAGACATATATGATTAGAGAAGGCATGTAATAATCATTGACGCTGATATATTTTTGATGCCAAAAATAATTATGTTTCATAAAATCATAAATATTGACATAACTTTTACATTGCACAGTGAAAACTGTTTAATCTGACACCCGTGCAATCCGTTTCACAGTGAATTCTGACCTTTATTATGTCACCCCGGACGAAGTCAGGGAGACATATTCCTATTGTTCGACTTAAAACGCGGTCCGCACAATTTCTCAAAGATGCCTCTGTCAATCTTGATGAAACTCCACTGTCATAATGACCAATAACTAAAGATGTGTAATCTTTCTTCCAAATTTTCAAAATGGCAACCGTTCCCATGGAAACTGATAAAAAGTGGTATTTTTTAAATTTCATCTTTCTCGGCTGCTTTTAATAAAATCTTTTTGAAACTTGAAAGAAGTGTTCCATCTTAGTTCTGCTAAAACCCTTTAAAATTTCAGCGTTGTTACTGTTGCCATGGCAACAGACAAAAAGTCAAATTTATTAAATTTCGTTTTTATCTGTAATTTTTCATAAAATCTTTTTTGTAACTTTAATGAGTTGTTAGAAACATCCAATCAAAGTGATTTCTGCAAAATAATGGAACAGAATGGAAAAAAAGAACGATTATTTAAAAAAAAAAAAAAAAAAAAAAGCTGCAGTCGAGTCTTCGATTTCGCGATGTTTCCACATTTGGTTTTGTCCTTGAATGTTCTCATAAAAGGCTTTGACAATATTATTGAAACCTTCCACAGAAATAATAATCACTATTTGTAGTTTTGCAATTCTCATTTAAAATTTTCTCCAACGTTGCCATTAGAATAGAAAAAATAATTTAAGTGCAGTTTCCTGAAAAACTTTGTGTAAAGGTTTATGTTTCGTCTTTTTAAAATTGTGATATATTCAATTTCTTTGTCTTCCTAATTTCTTTTTATGTAATAATCCTAGGGTACGTAAAGGTCCACCTTTGAAGCTTTTATACATTACCAATTTCTTGATTTGTTTAAGAAGAAATTAGATATCTTAGCATTTTCCAAAAAAAACGTAGGACCAACGTTTCCTTAAACACTACAAACCATTCATTTTATTTTCATATATGTAGTTTACGGGGACTCTACTGGAGTAATACACAAAGTATGAAGTGCAGAGGTATGACTTCTCTGGTGACAGAGAAGACACGGAAAACCTTCATATTGTCATAGCAATGAGTGTCTATTAAATAAAAAGGATTGCATGCGGTATATATCTTATGGGCGCATTTGTTTACTTCTTATCAAATAAAGAAGGCAATGACATATTTAGTATTTTATCCCCCCCCCCCCACTTTCCCCTCTGTCAGTTTTCTCTAATTGTTAACAAAGCAAGTTTTGTTTAACGTCTTGGATTCTAAATAAAATGACCTTGACCTTCATATTACAAACAACCCTTCGTCATAAACTTTTCAAAATGCTAAGGCTTCACACTTACTACAAAATGATGGTTAATTTACATGTGAATTTTCAATTATCCCTCCCCCTCCCCTTCGAAACAGCGAGGTAGAAAATGCAGGTATAATTGATAGGGAAGACCTTAAGAGTTTTATGAATAAAATTCAGTGCCGCTGTTGTGATCTAATATTTAACCAGCATTCATTCTTCTGTTTTTCTATAGAATTTATAATTATTATATTTAATACATGTATTTTTTTTAAAGTAGCGATTGTCAGCTGAATTTATTGGCATTTTGAGTTTTCTTGTGAATGTATTACTTGCATGTTAATAATTTAATTCAATGATATTTAGAATTATTGAAACTTATTTTCCGTCATTTTTATTAATTGAAAATCCTTGGATCCACTCCCGCAGGTGGGTAAAGGCTTCATCACCACTATAGACAAGACAATCAGCACGCCGGAAATGTTCAAGATTCTGCTACACTAAGAAAGTTTACACATAGTTTGTCATCTCATAGAAAAAATCAGCCCCTGTCCAGTGTAGAATTAAAGAGGAAAATTCAGGAATTATTTTGCTTCAGCCTTGTTTTGTCGTGAACCTTGAACGACTTTCACTTCCCTTAACTTTGGTTCGACCAAACCTAGCAATCGTAACTTGTTCCGTTTGTGTGTGCAAGTGGGGGGGGGGGGGGGGTGTCGGCTATTTCTACGAATACCCATTTCTTTAAGCATTGAACAATCTTAAAGCTTATGTTTTAGTTCGGGGTGACATAAGCTATTCCTTGCAATAGCAGAGTTTCTAGTTTTCATTCCCATTTTATTGTTTTCTATGATCTTCACACTGTGCAAACTGACACCCTATCTATTACAACACAAATTTTGTCTCCCAGTGCAGATTATACAGGTTTCACTGTATTATTGAAAAATGATTGGTGAATATAATCACCATTGTTTTACATTCCTGTAATATGGATTTAAAGAAAACGATAAAATAACCTATTGTTTGCACTTTTATGACATAAGGCATGTTTCATTTGCAATTGCATAAACAAAAAAGACTTAAAGAAATAGGGTCAGTAGAAATAAATAATTTACTCAAGTTTTTATAACAGACACCTCTTCCCATGAAATAGAAAAATTCACACGTGTAATATGTGAAATGGAGCATAACTAATCCTCTCTGTCAAGGGTGATATTTATGAAATAACCGAGAAATGATATTAATGATAAAATCTATATTAATTTTACACATGCTATGCATTTTCGGTCGGTACAATGGCATTACCAGCAAATACATTTTATCATTAAGTCAAATGCTGACTGACGTTTTTCATACTAATTGTTAGGCCATTATTTACACACTGAATCGTCGACATATTTTCCCGTTA